TGGAGGGACGGCGCAGGAGAGGAAGACCCTCTATGAGGTGGATTGATTCAGTGACTGGGATAATTGGGATGGGAGTGTCGGAGACAGTGAGATTGGCACAGGACAGAGCGGAGTTTAGGGCTGTTGTACATAGGGATGCTATGAGTCGCAAGCGACACGACGGCACATAACAACAACAACAACAACTATAAAACATGGATCTGAAATATAAGAAAATCAACACAACCTTCTTCAGAATATGTGAAATGTAAATTTAATGTTTTTGTTGCTGTGTGCTGTCAAGTCACCTGTGATTCAGCAACCCTATGTACAACAGCCCTAAACTCTGCCCTATTGTGTGTCAATCTCACTGTCTCCAACACACTTACCCCAGTCACTGAATAAATGCATCTCATAGAGGGTCTTCCTCTCCTGCGCTGTCTCTCCACCCTTCCATGCATGACGTCCATCTCCAAGTACTGGTCTCTCCTTGTAACATGTCCAAAGGAGGTCAGATGAAGCTTCAGAATCCTTGTCTCCAAGGAACAGCCTGATTTTACCCTCTCCAGGTCGAACCTGTTTGTTCTCTTAGAAGTCCATGGTATATTCAATACTCTTCTCCAAAACCATAGCTCAAAGGCATCGATTCTCCTATCATCACTAGTCATTGTCTAGCTTTCTGATGCATATCAAGTGATTGTAAAAACCATGGCCTGTATCAGGTGAAACTTAGTCTCCAGACTGACATTGTTGCTCTTCAGTATTTTGGAGAGGTCTCTGACAGTAGACTTAACCAGTGCAATATTTTTTTTTCAAGACATCTTTTAATTTCCTGGCTACTGGTAACAAAAATGTTGATTGTGGAGCCAAGCAAACTAAAGCTGTAAACAATCTCAATTTCTTCACCATCTATCATGATGCTACTAATCGGCCCAGTGATGGGAATCCTTGTTTTCTTGATAGTGAGCTTCAATCCATATTGAAGACTGCAGTCCTTGACCTTCTGCTTCAGGCCCTCCTCAGCTTCAGCAAACAGGGTTTTGTGTGTAATTTATTTTTATTTCTAGAGTGTTAAAGATCAAAGTTTAATAATGCTGTTGTAAAGTATGGGGACTAATATTTTCAATTTTTTTAGTAAATAGGTGCATCTTCTCAGTATTTTCATTGATGTTCACATGTTGTTGTGTCCTATCGAGTCAGAACAAACTCATAGCTGATTCTCTAGTAGGTTTTCAGAAGGAATAAACTGCATGGGAGAAGACTGCCCATCTTTCTCCACAGAGCAGCTGGAGAATTCGAACCAAGTGTCTTCGAGTTGGCAGTGTGGTTCTCTACCACTAAGCAACCAGCATACACTTGATGCTTAGTATGGAGTGTAATTTACACAGATTATAACATGAAATCATCACCACTGGGTCAATAGATGACATTGTGACAGATGGAGAAAAGACTGAAGTTGTTTAACCATTTTCTTTTACTTAGATCCACAATTAATACCCTGGGTCACAGCAGTCAAGAAATCAAAGGACATGTAGCAATGGGAAAGTGTGCTGCCAAGGTCCTTTCCAAAGTGCTACAGAGCAATGGAGCAATGGTGTTGGTTTACAGACTAAAGGGTGCCTAATCCCAGCCATGATCTTTTCAATTACCTGCTATGCACCTTAAAGTAGGACAATGAACAGATATGGCAGAAGAACAATCAGTGCCTTTGAATTGTTATATTGGAGAAGAACCAAAAGAACTCACAGGTCTGTCTCCTGGAGGAAGTGCAACAAGGAAGCATACATCATCATAGAGGTAAGGGAAAAGAAACTTCATCTCATATACTTTGGGCATGTTGGAAAAGTGGTCAGTCCTTGGAATAGGCCATCATGTTAGGAAAGGAAGAGGGTCAGGAAAAAAGAGGAAGTCCTCTAGCAAGATGGATTGACACAGTGCCTGTAACAATGAGCTGGAGCATACCAGACTGTGACTCCAGGGCAGGATAGAGCAAGGTTCAGGTCTGTTGTTTAGAAGGTCTCTGTGTGTTACAGAGACGTTTTGGGAAAAGTGCAGCCAGCATGCTCCTTGGAGGCAAGGATGGTGAGTTTCATCTCTCACATTACGGACACGTTGTTAGCAGGAACCCTGTTATGATACTCCTTGGAAAGGAATATCATCCTTGGAAAGGTGGAAAGTCAGCAAAAGTGAGGCAAACCCCCAACAAAATGGATTGATATGGCAATTGCAGCAGTGGACTCAAGTGTATCAAAGATGATGAGGACAGCACAGGAGAAGACAGGGATCACGTTGGTTGTTCATAGAGTCATAATGAGTCATGCTTGACCTAACGGCAACTGAAAACAACATGAATTGCTGAAAGCATGATGGCATCTAACAACAACAACAACAACAATGTGAATGGTATCTTTTTGGAGTGGGATGATGGTTCTGACTTCTACAGAGAGTTAATTGGCAAAAAAGATATTAAAATGTTAAATGTAAATATAATCTGATTCAGTGATATTACTTCCTGAATTTCTTTTCTCCAAGTATAAATTTCTGTGTGTGCAAAGTAATGCATTTTAGCACTGTTTTAATAGTGAAATACTGGAAACAATTTTCTATTAATGAAGAACTGTTATTGCTAGGTGCCCGCCTGCTAGACTGTTTCTACTCATAACCACCCTAAGTACAAGAAAATGAAATGAAACCCTCCCCAGTAGTCCTGGGCCATCCTCACAATCATTGCCATGTTTAAGCCCACTGTTGCTGCCACTGTGTCAATCCAACTCTTTGAGAGTTCTCCTTTTTTCACTGACCCTCTATTTAACCAAACATAATGTCCTTTGTAGACCATGCCCCTCTGTTAACAAGTCTAAAGTATATGAGATAAAATCTCACTGTGCTTACTACTGAGAAACATTCTGGCTGTTACAAGACAGATTTGTCCGTTCTTCTGGTTGTTGTTATTTTTGTGTACCATTGGGTCAGAACTGACACAGAGCTGACCCTCCTGCTGGTTTTCAGAGGCAGTTGAGAGGAGACTGCCCATCATTCTTTGTTGCAACTAGTGGATTTGAACTGCAGCCTTTGGGTTGCCAGTACAACTCCTTACAACTAGGCCGTCAGAGCTCCCTTCTGGTAGTCTCCATGGCATATTAAATATTCTTTGCCAATATCATCGTTCAACAGCATCAATTCCTTTTAAATATTCCTTATCTGATGTTCAGCTTTTGCATGCATATGAAACATGTAATACTGCTATGCAAGAAACGGAAATCTAAAAGTATCACCTGGTAGGGGAATTTGGAGTTATCCTCTATTGTATATATATTTTAAAAATTCTAAGTTTTTAACTTTGAACAGTAGCTTGAGACTCAAGATATTATCCCATAGCACTAAAGAAAATAAACAACAATAACATAAAATTTAAATTTGTTTATCCTAACTTTTGGTCAAAATTATCTAAAGTTTCAAAACAACATGGACAGGAAGTTTTAAAGTATGATTTATCTTGACAACATACTTCATTGCTATCAAACTCTGTTCTTGATTTATCCATTCCTTGCCAGAACAGACTCATAGTTGACCCTCTGTTGAGTTTTCAGAGGTTACAAAACACAAGGGAGGATAATGCCCATTTTGTGCTTGTGAAGCCACTAGTGGATTTGAGCCACAAGAAGGGGTTGGCCTTTGGGTTAGCAGATCAACTCTCTACAGATTATGCCACCAGAGATCCCCTCTGGTGTCAATGCCAAATTCGATTTACACTTGCTTTGCATAAAAGTAATGATTATAATGTTGTTGTGTACCACCGAGTTGGAACTGACCCATAGCTGACCCTTCAGTGGGTTTTCAAAGAAGGTTAATTGCACAGGAGGAGATTGTTCACCCTCCTGCAGAGCAGCTGGTGGCCTTGAACCACGTGCCTTGGAGAGTGCAGTGTAGCGTCTTGCCACTAGGCAACCAGAGCTCCCTTTAGCTTTAATAATTTAACAGGTTAAGCATTTCAATAATTCCCAAGACAAGATACTCACTGCTGTCCAAAATTTGCTACAGCTTGTACTTCAACTAGGGACTTTGACTGAGATCACGGCTTAAACACCAAACCCAGCACCAACTCATGGCAACATTAGATGTGCCAAAAAAGTGACCATAAAATATAGTTAGACTTACTCAGGATCTGTAACGATTTGTTCTCCATTTCACTAACAGCTGTTGCAAATGGGACCACCAAGCTTTTCCAGTTGCCTGGATTCTGCATTACAGGGCATTCTGGGAGCAGGAGGAAAACTTCTAAAGCTTCCTGGTGTATAGAATGTAATGGAAGTTTTGCAAACAGATTCTCCCCGAGACAAGTGGTGATCTGTGGTCAAAACAGGATGGGGAAAAGCCACAGGACGTATTAGATGCAGTGTCATGAAAGGCAAGCTATGGGAAGAAGGGTTTCATTATGTTCTAACTGGAATAATCAATTAGTCTTTCTGAAACCTACGGTAAAAACTCCATCACTCTCATTCTCTCAGATGCCGATATAACAGTTTCCCCTCCATTTCATATGGGGGCGTATGAAGAAGAGAAATGAATACACTGAAATAAGACTGGATTCAAACTAACACAAAGCCCTTCAATCATATTTTACATAACTCATACTTCCTTTTATCCTTTTTTTAAAAGTGAGCTGCATGCTCTCTCCCACACATTAACCAAACCCTCCTGTATCACATGTATCTTTATTTCTCATTGATTAGTAGAAAATTTTTCAGAGTCACAATAGCTCTGAATTTTCATAGTATTCACTTCATCGAAAGGTAAACTTTAAAAACAGTCTATATATTTAGAAGTACAGAATTGTGTATGTGCATGTTTGCATGTCTCCATGGCATTGTTAATTTGAACATTCACATGAGTTATCCATCACGGGTCAGATGATCTCATGTAAATGACTTAGTTATCTTAACAATCAAGTAAGAAGGTTTTTCTTTTGATTTTACATAAGGAAGGAGAGAATCACTGTGGTCACCCCAAGTGACAGAGCAGGAGACCATTACCAGACATCACTCACTCCCATTACTATCAAGTTGGAACCAACTGATAGCTGACCCTCCAGCTGGCTTCTGATGCTGAGAATCACACGAGAAAGGGTTATCTATCTTTTTGCCACACAGATGCTGGTGGATTTGAACTGCCCTGGAGACTACACCATCAGAGCTCCCTATAGATTTATGTGGCCAAATATCTGCCATGACAGAGACAATGCCATATGTTCACTTAAGTGACCCTGCTGTATTTTCCTTTTGGGTGAGTACCCAGAAAGCCAGCATTTCCCAGCCTCTCCTGAAGTTAGGTAGGGCCATGTGACTAAATTCTAGTCAATAATGGAACATGGGCAAAGGTGATAGATTATATTATCCCTAAAAGCCCTCAAGGGAGTTTTCATGGCCTAATGGGCAAGGAGCTGCACTGCCAACCCTAACGCAGGGGTTAAAATCTACCAGCTGCTCCTTGGAAGAAAGATGGGCAATCGCCTCTTGTGCAATTTCTTGACTGTTCTTAGGTGTCACTGAGTTGAGGACAGTTCATAGTGACCCCATGAACAACAGATCTGAATCCTGTCCTATCTTGTGCCATCGTAATAATCTCGGTTACACTTGTGCCCATTGACCAATCATTAGGCCAATTCATGTCACTGAGGATCTTCCTCTTTTTCATTGACTCTTTATGTTTCCAAGCACGATGTCTCTTTTCAAGGAATAGTCCCTCAAATTGTAGCTAACCTAGAGAAGAATGGGAATCCCAGACACTTGTGCTCATGTGAAATCTATACTTGGCCCAAAAAGTAGTCATCAGAACAGAGCAAGGAAACACTGCATGGTTCAAAAGCAGGAGAGGTGTATATCAGGGATGCATCCAATCTCCATACCTTTTCAATCTATATGTGGAACAGATCATTCGGGAAGCTAGACTTTATGAGGAGGAATGTGGAGGACTCATCAATACCCTGCATTATGCAGATGACACAAGCTTGCCTGCTGAAACTGAGGAGGACCTAAAGCATTTGCAAGGTCAAGGCCTGCAGTCTTCAATATGGATTGAAGTCAGCAGCAGAAACAGCAAGGCATGTGGCCAAAATCTTATCCTGGGAATGAGGTTGAGAAGACTCCAGGTTCCAGCTAGAATCGATAGCCTTATTCTATAAAATGAGATGTGAGAAAACAATAAAATTAAATCCCTCTAAGGGGGATGGTATGCATTGCCTACAGGGTTGTCCATTCTTGTCCAAGGTTTGAGTGAGAGAGCCTGCTAAGGGTCAAGGCTCATGGGCCTTAAGCCAGAGTTATACCCAGAAACTTTGGAAATAAAAAATGAGAAACTCTCTCTCTCTAAAAAAATAAAAAAAAAAAAAGAAAAAGAAAAAAAGGTAACAAAGATACAAAGATTCTCACGACTGGGCTAACTGGCAGCATTATGGACAGACGGAGAAGAGATTGTGATTATTAACAATTTCAGCTGGCTTGGTTCCACAATCAACACTCTTGAAGGAGGCAAGGATTTTGAAGCTCCATCTCACATAATTTGGACATGTTGCCTGGGATGAGTCCTTGGAGAAGAATATCATGCATGAGGGACAGTGCAAGAGAGGAAGACTCAAGATGAGATGGATTGACTCAGTAACTGAGGTAATGGGGGCAAGTGTGTCAGAAAACACGGAGATTGGCTCAATATAGGGCAGGGTTCAGAGCTATTATACATAGGGTCACTGTGAGTCACAGGTGAATTGATGGCACGTAACAATAACAACATTCCCAAAGCATGTGAGATGGAGCTACACCATTCTTGTTTTTTTTCTCCTTATTCTGGAATGTTGTCATACAAATAATGTCTAATCATATATATTTTTTAAACAGTTCTTTCATCTGTTTCAATGCAGTACTCATTATTTATCCCCAAACCCTATATCCGTTCTGTTTTATAACAGTGGGGTTATACAGTATTTATCCTTTTGTAACTGAGATATTTCATTCAGCATAATGTCCTCCAGGGTCACCCATGTTATGTAATATTTTGAGTTTCTTGAGTTTTAGTGCTGTGTAGTATTCCATTGTGTGAATATACCACAGTTTTTCTATCCATTTGTTGATAGATGCTTGGGTTGCTTCTATCTCTGCTATTGTGAATAATGCAGCAATAAACATGAATATGCATTTATCTGTTTGGATGGCAACTCTGGTTTCTTTAGGATATATATTCCTAGTCATGTCATTGCTGGGTCAAATGGTATTTCTATTTCCAATGTTTTGAGAAACTTTTTGCCCTTTATTGTGGTTGCACCATTTTACACACCCAGCAGCAATGAATAAGGGTTCCAATCTCTCCACAGCCTTGCCAGCATGTGTTGTTTGCTGCTCTGTTGAACTTTGTAATAGTTACTGGGGTGAGACGATATCTCATAGTTGTTTTAATTTGCATCTCTCTGAGAGCTAGGAATTTTGAACAGTTCTTCATGTGTGTGTTTGCCATCTGAATGTCTTCTTTGGTGACGTGTCTATTCATATCCTGTGCCCATTTTGTGACTGGGTTGTTTACCTTTTTCTTGTTGAGGTGAGGGAGTATTCTATAAATTTTAGATATGAATCTCTTATCAGGTATGATATTTTCCACCCTAGTCTGTGAGTTTCCTTTCTACCCTGTTTGATAAGTATTTTGATGTATATAGGGATTGATTCTTAGAAGGTTTCACTCATCTATTTTATTCTTTCCTGGTTGTAGGTTTTTCAAGATGCTTGGAAGACTGTTCATATTGTGGATTAGGGCTTCTAGAATTTTTCTAAGGTTTTCTCTGATGAAGTTTACAGTCCTTGATTTTACTTCTAGTCCTTGATACACTTTGAGTTAGTTTTTGTGTATGGTGTAAGGTGTGTGTCTTGCTCACATTTTATACAGATGGTTTGACAATTTTGCCAACAGCATTTGTATCCTGAATGGCATCCAAAAGGGCCCAGAGGAGGAGCCTGGATGATTTACAGTCTTTGAAAGTCTCCTGGAGGATCAGCTACAAGTTGGTTCCCACTCCACAGCAAGGAATGCCTGCCTGCCTGACTGAATAAAAACCTCTCAGGTGATCCTCCACACTCTCTTTCCTCACCTACTGAAGAAACACAAGAGATTTCAGTGGAGGATATTAAGACTCTAATGTTTACAGACTTCAGCAGGAAGAAAATCAAGTTTCTCAAAAAATTTCACCCCTTTCCCTACCCAGCAGTATCTCCTATCTCCAACACTTACTGGACTGCAATGGGAAAAATAAGTCTGTATTAAGCCAGTGAAATTTGGAAGTTCCTTGATGTTAAGACATTATTTATTCTAACAAATACTATTTTAACTATACTGCCTATCTCTCAATGCCATAAGGGTTAAACAAACTGATGTATGTAACAGTGCCTTGTAAATGGACATGCTAAGTATTATCATGTTGTTATTACATAACTATTATTCCAATTATGTGGGTTGTTTAGGTTTTTGGTGATGGTTTTATTCACTTACAGAACATTCTATTTGTGGAATGCTGATAGGTATTATGCAGACTAAAATAGGGTCACTGAGTCAAATGACTTCAAGGAACATGGGCAAAATTTGTTAATGAGCATGATGATTTGGTCATGATATAATGTACTCTAAAAGTTATTCCACTAAGAACTCTTTTTAAGAAAACATTTTACAAGTGTAATGTTTCCTAAACTGACTGGAAAATTCATCCAAAGTTCTTTTTCACACCTCCTGCCTACAGTAATTATATGTAAAATAATGTAGAAAGTCCTTACTTATTTAACTTGAAAATAAAAATGGGACCCAAAATTAACACTCTCAGGACTAGCAGTCTACTGCCATGGGCAAGTCTGTTGTCAGGAACCTCTCTAAAACACTGAGAGCAATGATGCCAGTCTGAAGACTAAGGTGTGCCTGATTCAGGCAATAAATCTTTTCAATTACATGTTATTCATCTGAGAGCTTAACAATGAATAGAGATAACAGAAGAATTACTGAGGTATCTGAGTTGTGGTATTGGAGAGGAGTACTGAAATATCCCACAGAGTGCCAAAGTTAGTAAACAGAAGTCAAATTAAGTTTCTATTTCTGATTAATACTTGAGCTTATAGGAACTCAAGTCAATCAATTGACTTTCCAAGAAAAAGAAATCTAAATTAATTGATTAATTAGGCCTTACTTTATTTAAAACGCCTGTCATCATGTAGATTCTGACCCTCCATTGAATTTCAAAGCTGTAAATATTAACAGGAGGAGACTGCCCATTACCTTTCTCCCACAAAACAGCCGGTGCATTTAAACATTGGACCTTTTGGTGAGTAGTATGACACACTACTCAATTTCTGTCAGTTAAGCCTAGTTCAGACTCCCCAGAATCTCACATAAAGAAAACAAAATGTCCGCTAGCCTATGTGACATTTTCCCAGTATAAATGCTTTTTTTCCTGTATATCTATGATAGAAAAATACTTTTGCTTTATACCACACTCCAGACTCCTTGTCTGAATTCCAGTTCAGTCATTCCTCGATTCATGAATTGAAAAATAAATCTCATGAGTTGATACACAAATGTTGTACTGTGCAAATTTTATTTCTGACAAGAATAAGATTGGGATGGATGCACTATGCCAGTGCTGTTTTCATGTCATTAGAGGTTGTTAACCCTTTGAACATTGGCTTTTACACTGAAAATGAAAACATAATATCCACTATATATCAAAGGGCACTCTGGTGGCCAAGTGGAAAGGAACTGCATTGCCAGAGGAAAGGCAGAGTGTTTGAATCCACCAGGTGCCCTATAGCAAAGATGGACAATCTGTGCAATTTACAGCCTGTGAAAACCCACTGTAGGGTCAGCTACGAGCTAGTTCCAACTCAATGGCATGTAACAACAATAACACTGTAAATGTAAATAGTCAGTGAGAAAAGAAATAAATTATGCACTTAATACAATGTCTGGGAGCTCTAGTGGCCTAGTGGTAAGGAGTTGTGCTGCCAACCAAAAGGCTGGTGGTTTGAATCTACCAGCTGCTTCAAGGGAGAAAGATAGGCAATTTCCTCCTGAGTAATTCACAGCCTCTGAAAATGCACTGCAGGGTCAGTTATGAGTTGGTTCTCACTTGATGGTACACAACAACAACATGTCTATAATATAGTCATCTCATAGCAAATAATGATCCACAATCATAAACCCCTTGCAACAAAATTAAACTGCAGTAAATGCCATTGTTGTATTTCTCAAGGAAGTATTGACTATTACCAGGGGGGAAATCCATTTCTCTTCTGTTAACTTCTTAAAGGTATCCCTTGCCATCTCCAAGTCCACATTAATGGAAGTGGTCTCTCCAGTTCCTCTGTGGACATAAGACAAGAAGAAAACCCCACATAAACAGATAGGAAGTGATATTTGCTAGCTTCATATACTACTAAATGTCTTCTTACATTTCAGATATAAACTTTTACTTAAAATTTACCACCTTTCAAAATAATCAGCTTTCTTGATGCACACACAAACATACACAAATAACAAATGATATTATTCTCTTGTTAATTCTAGCAAGGAATGTAGGGAGCTCTGGTGGCCTAATGGTAAGGAGTTGTGCTGGTTTGAACCATCAGCTGCTCTATGGAAGAAAAATGGGCAAGCCCCTACCACACGATTTCCAGCCTCTGAAAACCCACTGGAAGTTCAGCTATGCATGAGTTGGTTCTGACTTGATTAGAATGAGTTTAGGGGTTTTTGTTTGTTCTAGTGAGTAATAAGCCAGGCTGATAATAAAAAGGTTGGTGGCCTAAATCCACACTAGCCCTCCTCAGGAGAAAACCAGTCTACTCCTGTAAAGATTTACAGCCTTAAAAACTTGATGAATTGGTATGGGAAGGAATCAGTGCGAGGAAAGTGGACTGGCTTGTTTGTTTTTTTATAATATATAATCTCTACTTTAACAAAATATTCTTTCTAGAATTTTAAAATGAAAGTAGATCATGTCAGTATTACCTTTTCTTTAAAAAACTTGCAGTCAGACAAGCAGGAGATGAAAATATAGTTCTAATTTCTCTGAAAAAATAATTAACACAATGGTTAAGGTCACAACTTACAGAAAAATGGATGCTGGCAAGGTTCATTTCATAAAATTTATTTAATTTCAAACAGATTCACAGAGGGAAGCACACCTCTTATAAAAATTAGACGGTTCTTCACCTGGACAAATGAAGCTGAGAGTTTGTGTAGGAAGAAAGGACCAAAGAAAAGAAGGAAATACCTGTCACATATTTAGAGGTCACATAAGAGCAAGACATATGGAACATCTAACCGTTCAAGCCTACCTACCTAAGTGATCTGTTTAATTTCGGAATGAAATAGCAAGCAGACTAATCTTGCTATATTCTTCAGAAATGTTTTATGCATTTTATGGAAATATGACAAGGCAAGGATTGGAAATTAAAGAGGTGGTAGTGAGTAATTCCTCCTGTAGTTGGACTTTGCCAAGCCTGTTTAATCTTTTAAAAGAGTATCTTTAACTCAGGCATGTCTGGAAAGTAAAACATAAATATAACAATAATTATTCTTATGTTAGAATAAATAATATGGCATGGAATCATGATTTATGATAATACTAACCAGCAAAGAATCTCCCAAACAATGGATATTTTGTGCATATTATTGCCAAATCTCACAATACACTTCCCTTCAAAAGGATTATGTTCAAACCACCTAGATTTAAATACAAACCACTCGACTGAAAACCAAAATGTGTGGATCTCCAGAAAACAAGCTATGATGATATAAAGACAGTTCACCTTATTGAAGTCTCTGTGATAACAAAAACTTTTCTGGGTGTGTGACTCACTCCTGCCTCCTTTTCATGCCGCAAGGTACCTGGGATATTGCACGTTCTCAATAAATCTTTGCCCAATAATTGAGGAATGAATAAAAACACATCAGCAAAGTCTTTAAGCACATATATGGTGTAAGAGATCTACTGTTGTAGAATGGGTTGGGGTAAGACTGAGAAAAACTGGATAAATTATGTATACTGCATTGAAACAAATGAGGGAGAGAATAATTTAAAAGTGATATATGATAGGGTATTATGGTTATCACAAGAGTCCAGAATTAAGGTTGCATAGTGGAGTGTGCTCGGGGTGGTGGGAGGGGTGAGGGGGGATTGTATACCAAAGAAGGAATTTTTCTTTTGCTTTTCAAAGAGAGGAGCAAACTCGAGGGGGGGGGAGGGGGAGGGCTGGACAGGGAGAAAAGTGCAACAATGAATGAATGGAAATCCAAAATCTTTGTAAATGTTCATTAAAAGTAATAAAATAAATTTTTTTTTAAAAAAGAGAGATCCATGGTTGAAATGCAAATGCCTTCACAAGGAAGTCCACAACTTCTTTCTTCTATAGAGGATAAAATCACCAAGGCTTAAGAATCAGATAAGAGTGATTTATAATTTATGAAAGAGAGTAACCTCTTCGCCATTTCCAGTGTGGAACTTCCTTTTTTCACAGCTGTCCATTTCTTAACCAGGGTCTGGTTGATTTGACTTATTTCTGGCAGAGTTTTCCTGGAAACACTCGGGGACTCAGTGTCCTTCAAGGAAGAAAGATGAAAAGAATGATCAAGTTAACACACACACACACACACACACACACACACACACCCCTGCTGAGTAATAACTATCACAGTAAAGCTGAGGACACTGGTGGTAGATTGACCTTGACATTGGTGTTTAGTGGAAGGGGTTTTGGTTTCAGACAGGCCTGGATGCTCCACTTTCTAGCTTTGGATACTTAGCTCAGTTTGAAGCTCATTACATTTAAAAAAACAAAAAACAACTCAACTTGTTCTAAATCAGAAAATTCTGTATCACTTTTCTTAATAGTGAAATGAAGATCTCTTTAAAATATAGATTGCTACAAATTTTCTCTAAAATTCCTTTAGCTTCTGAGTCCTGAGTCCTTAGAGCTCAAGCAAAAGAAAATTTTCTTTTCTTCTACATCCTAGAACCTTGGGGAAAAGGGCATTCTTCTTTTATAAGCTATTTCTTCTGCTTTTTTTCTTCTAACCTCCCAGCCCTACTAAACCCATGACATCAAGCTATATATATTATCTGCCTTTCCTTCTTTAAATATCATATTCCAATGTCCTGGTCACTCTCTGCATTCACTGAAAACATCAGCTCTTGGTTTTCTAACCTCTTTAACATCACCACTCTTGTTGCCATTTTTGGCACCTTCTCAATTAGAACAAACTTCTCTCCCACCTTGATCTCATAGATTTTGACCACTCTTTTTCCTCTGTCTTATCCATGTCTTATACCTTAAATCAGTGTCTTTCAACTTTGACACCACAGAAGCTCTGTTCTGGATAATTCTTTTCCTAAACTTATCAGACTAGGAAGAAGGATTTGCCGTCCACTTCCAAAATGACAGGCCTTGAAAACCCTATGAGCACACTCAACATCAAGAAAACAAAGATTCTCACCACTGGGCCAATTGGCAGCATCAGTATGGATGGTGAAGAGATTGAGATAGTTAACAGTTTTAGTTTACTTGGCTCCACAGTCAACACTCTTGGTAACAACAGCCAGGAAATCAAGAGATGAACTACATTGGTAAAGTCAGCTGTGAGGGACCTCTCAAGAGTACTGAAGTGCAATGATGTCAGGCTGGAGACTAAGGTGCACCTGATCCAGGCTATAGTCTTCGCAATTATGTGCTATGCATCAGACAGTTGGACAGTGAATAGGGATGAAAGAAAGAGAATTGATGCCTTTGAGCTGTGGTGCTGGAGAAGAGTGTTAAATATACCATGAACTGCTAGGAGAACAAACAGGTTTGTCTGGGAGAAGGTGAAGCAGGAATGCTCCTTGGAATCAAGGATTCTGAAGCTTCGTCTGACATACTTTGGGCATGTTGCAAGGAGGGACTGGTCCTTGGAGAGGGACATCATGTTTGGGAGAGTGGAGGGGCGGCACAGGAGAGGAAGACCTTCGATGAGATGGTTCGATTCTGTGAGTGGAGTGGTGGGACAGAGTGCGTTTGAGATGGCTAGGTTGGCACAGGATAGAACGGCATTTAGAGCTCTTGTACATAGGGTAGCTATGAGTCACAAGCGCCTCGATGGCACATAACAACAAGAACAACAAACTTATCAGAAGATACGTTAGGACAGATAGTTTGGTTCAACCTCCACAAGTCTGCATTACATCCCTCTTACTCTGTCCTGTTCTGGAACACTGTTTCTGCAATTATTTCATCCTTCTTATGCATCATCTTTTTCTTTTCCTAAAGGAGATCATTCTCACAGGCATATAAACGAGACTTAATAGTACCTCTTTAAGTTTAAGAAAAGTAACTCTAGTGGCAAATGGTTAAATACTCCACTGTTAACTAAAGGTAAGCAGTTCAAATCCACTAGACACTCAAAGGGAGTCTGCTTCTGTAAAGACTTGAAAATCCTATGGGGCAATTCTACTCTCCCCTATCCAGAGAGTAGCTATGAGTCATAGATAACTGGAAAGCACCAAGTTTGGTTTATCTCTGTAAGTATTCATGGAATTAAAATGTCTTCTCTGATAGGCTCCACTGTAACTAAGGCACTAAATAAGTCTAAAAAAGGGATTAATAATGGTGGGATAGATCTGATGCTGCCTGCACAACCTGTGAACACAGACAGTCCCTGGGTTACAAACACTTGACTTGGGTACCTTACAAAGTTACTACACCTTACCTCCACCCTGTTCAAACCTCAAGTACATTCAATTGTTGACAATAACAAGCAGGTGTGACTTTGAGACACACAACTAAACATAATTATTGATGCTGTATCATTGTAAAAGATATTTTAGAACTGTATCATTATTAAAGATAGCTTAGTGTATCTGGAAGTGTTTAATTTTTTTATTGTTTATTGTGTGCAAAAAGACACAACTATATTGGCAAACTTGACTGACTTTGAATACAAATTATACTGACTTCTAATTTATATAAAATTAAGACATAGTTAAGAATTTGTTCATAATCTGAGGACTACCTATATATTAAACAAAACGGAATTGTATACTTTAAGTGATCGAAACTAATGGTATGTAAAGCTCAATAAAGCTGGTAAAATAAAAAAAAGGACCATTTCTCTAAATAACAACAAAATTCTCTATGCCTTCTTTTTCAAATTTGTACAAGTCTTTGCTTCTATTTGCGCCTCTTTTATTCCCTATTTGTTCCACTCAGGCCAGGGTATTTATCTTCTCTTAAGTGAGATTATTCTATAATCAAATAAAACCAAGCTCACCACTGTCAAGTCCATTCTGACCATAGTGACTCTTACAGGACAGAGGAGAATGGCCCCACAGGATGGGCAAGGCTGTAAAATGTTATAAAAGTAGACTGTCATCTCTTCCTACTATGAATTAACTGGTGGATGTGAACTGACAACAATTTGGTTAGAAGACAAGGGTTTTAACCACTGAGGATCCAAGGCTTCTTAATTCCATTTTATTGTGTTGTGTTGTTATGTGCTGCTGGGTCACTTGTGATTCATAATGACCCTATGTACAATAGCCCTGAAACCTGCTCTGTCCTGTGCCAACCTTATTATCACTGACATACCTATTCTTATTACCCCAATCAATCCTTCTCATTCAGGGTTTTCCTCTCTTGTGCTGTTCCTCCACCATCTCAAGCATGATGTCCCTCTCCATGGACTGGTCTCGCCTTGCAACATGCCTAATGTATATCAGACGAAGCCTCAGAATCCTTGCCTCCAAGGAGCAGGTTGCTTCCATCCTCTCTAGGATGAACGTTTTTGTTCTCCTAACAGTCCATTGGTATTTTCAATACTCTTCTCCAGCACCACTTGTGCTTGAAGGCAGTCAACAACAACATATATTAAAAAGCCAAACAAAAAGAAACCTACATAATATTTTTAAAAAACATTCTAACAGAGACATTATTTTAGTAACTATTATTGCTTGCATTGTGTTCCTCCAAAATGAATGTAAAACACCAAAACAAAACAAAATGAATGTCCATCAGAAACTCAGAATATGATTTTATTTGGAATCAAGTTATTTGCAAAAACAAAGATTCTCACCACTGGGCCAACTGGCAGCATCATGATAGATGGAGTAGAGATTGAAATTAACAATTTCTGCTTGCTTGGTTTCAAAGTAGCCTTGGCACCAGCAGTCAGAAAATCCAAAGATGAACTGTATTAGGAAAATCTGCTGTCAAGGACTTCTTCTGAGTGCTTATGATCAAGGATGTCAATTTAGAGACTAAGGTGCACCTGATACAGGCCATGGTGTTAACAATTACCGCTATGTATCAGAGAGCTGACCAATGACCAAAGATGACAGGACAAATTGATTACTATGACTTGCGTGGTGCTGGAGAAGAGTATTAAACATACCATGGGCAGCCAAGAGAACTAACAGGTCTGTCTTGAAGAGGATGACGCCAAGTTGCTCCTTGGAGGTAAGGATTTTGAGAATCCATCTCACTTACTTTGGGCACACAACCAGGGGGGACCAGTTTTTGGAGAAGGATATCATGCTTGGAAGGGTAGAGGGACAGTGCAGAAAAGGAAGACCCCAGATAAGATGGATTGACACTATATCTGGTATATGGAGGGTAGGTGTGTCAGAGACAGTGAGACTGGCTCAGGATAGATAAGGGTTGAGAGCTATTGTATATCAGGTTACTATGAGCGAAGGCCAGATGAGTTGTGGGAGGATATCAACGGTATCATCCAGGAAGAGTGCAAACGGTCATTGCAAAGACAGAAGAGGAAGCGAAGACCAAAATGGATGTCAGAAGAAACTCTG